CAATAGGGTTTAAAATGATTTATTTAAAAAAATTAAACCCCTTTTTGTTGGAAGAGTCTGGTACGTCGAACTTTGTTATCAATGAAACAAAAAGATCACCCTTTTTGTTTCATAATATAGCAAAAGAGAGGATTGATGCATTGCTTACTAGACCAAAATATTTTGATGAAAAGGCTAATGGGTTTCATCCCATGAACCTATTTGAAAGAAGTTCACTTATATCCGCTTTTTATAAAGCAAATAGACTTCGCTTCTTTAATATTCGCCCTAACTCTAACTTTTGGTTAGATTGTAAGAGAAGATTTCCATTTTCTGTGGAAAGGACTCGGAATACTAATTCGTATTTTCTCTATGAGCAATTTCTAAATAGCTTGTTCCTTGGGAATCAAAAAGTTTCTTTAGGTGGTGGGAAAAAAAGACAGGTTTTTGGGGATAGAGCTACTATTTCACTAATTGATTCCTTATTTAAGGATTTTGCCAAAAATGGTGACCCACGGTATAACTTTGAGAATTTTTTTAATTCTGTAAGGGAATCCGATCCAGTCATGCCTAATTTGATTCTAAATACTTTTGGAACATCTTCTACAGAGGAAGAAATAGTCAATTTGGAAACAACTTATTGTCAACCGTTTTCAGATCTAAATAGAAATCTATATGATTCAGAAGAAAATCACTTTCAAGAATATCCTAATTTTAATTTAAATATGGATATGGATTTGGTTGACATTCCCTGTTCTTATAAATATTTTTCATTTCAAAACAAAAAAAATCGAAAAAAAGGCGCTGTGTTTCAGAAAAGACGGATGGCAACAACTTTTCATAGAGAGAATTTTTTTTCCATTTTATCAGAAAAATTAAATCTTTTCCAAATGAATTTGCCAAACTTCTTTACTTTGACAGGGTACAAATATCTCTATTCTCTATTGATAGATATAGTTTCAATATTAAATAGTAGGATATCTATTTATTGGGAGATTTTGTATTTATTATGGCAAATTTTTAAGATGAAATTGTTGCCCTTTTTTATAACAAGTGAAATCTCAAGTAAGTGGTTACATAACCGTCTTCTAGCTAATGAAAGGTTGCAACGAAATACTAAAACATCAACACATTTTAGATCACCAAGTGGTTGGGCTTTTTTCGTTTCAACGCTTTTCCTTCTTATTGGTGTTGGTTATCTTGTTATTATAAATCTTGTCTTTGTTTCTCGATCTTTGAGGGAGTTAGATATCAAGTTTAAAAGATTAAAACCTTTTCTAATTCCCTCATATCTAATTGAGTTTCAAAAACTTGTAGATAAATATCCTATGTGTGAATCAAATGGGTTTTGGTTAAATAATATATTTATATTTGGCTTTAACCAATTCGTACGTTTGTTAGAAGGAATCCAAGGTTTTGTTTTCGGTCTCAACAAGATTCATCTTACTTTGAAAGTGAAACCAAGACGTTTGACGAAGAAATCTTTCAATATCCTTGAACAGATAACTGGAATTGCTGTTTCTATAAATAGAAATATGCAATATATCAGTTCTATCAGTCCTACAAGTAAAGAGCTCTATTCATTGATAAGAAAAAGAGAAAACGTGAAGGCGAATTGGATTGATGATCAAATAGAATCCTGGATCGTAAACAGCGATTCAATTCATGAGGAAGAAAGACAATTTTTGGTTCAGCTAGCCACTTTAACAACAGAAAAAAGAATTCCATCGAGTCTGACTGACAGGGATCATTTCTTAAAGAATGACTTAGGTTATCCAATGATTGACCAACCGGGAGCAATTTATTTACGATACTTAATTGACATTCATCAAAAGGATCTAATGAACTATGAGTTTAATAGATCTTTTTTAGCAGAAAGACGCATATTACTTGCTCATTCTCAGACAATGACTTACCCACAAACTTCGTATGCTCATTTAGCATGTCGTGGAAAGCCTTTTTCTCTCCGCTTAGACTTATCCCCCTCTAGAGGTATTTTAGTTCTCGGTTCTATAGGAACTGGACGATCCTATTTGGTCAAATACCTAGCAACAAACTCCTATATGCCTTTCATTACGGTATTTGTGAATAAGTTGCGAGATAAGAGTCGTAAATTTATGACTGATTTCTATATTGATAATAGTATCAATATTAATGCTAGTGACGATATCAATCTGACTAAGAGCGACAATATTGATGACGATAAGAATTTTGACCTTGCTACCGAGCTGGAAATCCTAACTAGGATGAATGCGCTAACTATGGATAAGGAGATGAAGGCTGAAATAGACCGATTATCTATTACCCTTCAATTTGAATTAGCAAGAGCTATGTCTCCTTGCATAATCTGGATTCCAAATATTCATAATCTGGATGTGAATGAGTCAAATTCCTTATCTCTTGGTCTATTAGTTAACCATCTCTCAAAGAATTGTGTAAGAAGTTCTACTAGAAATATTCTTGTTATTGCTTCTACTCATATTCCTCAAAAAGTGGATCCCGCTCTAATAGCTCCGAAAAGGTTGAATACGTGTATTAAATTACGAAGGCTTGTTAATCCACAAAAAAGAAAGTACTTTTTTACTCTTTCATCTACTAGGGGATTTTATTTGGAAAAGAAACTGTTCCATAGTAACGGATTCGGGTCTATAACCATGGGGCCGAATATAGGAGATATTCTAGCACTTACCAATGAGGTTCTATCAATTAGTATTACACAGAAAAAATCCATTATAGACAATAATACAATTAGAGCCGCTCTTCATAGACAAACTTGGGATTTGCAATCACAGTTAAATTTGGTTCAGGATCATGGGATCCTTTTATATCAGATAGGAAGGGCTGTAGCACAAAATTTACTGATAAGTAATTGCCCCGTAGATGCTATATCGATCTATCTGAAGAAGGAATTATGTAATGAGGCGGATTCCTATTTGTACAAATGGTACTTCGAACTTGGAAGGAACATTAAAAAATTTACGATACTTCTTTATCTTTTGAGTTGTTCTGCCGGATCGGTTGCTCAAGATCTTTGGTCTTTCCCCCGAGATGAAAAAAATGGGATCACTTCCTATGCACTCGTTAAGAATGATTCTGATCTAGTTCATGGTTTATTAGAATTATTAAAAGTAGAAGGCTATCTGTTGGGATCAGAACAAAATTATGGATCTTCTTCTATTCTTGATCAGAGATTTCTATATGAAAACTACGAACAGGAGGATTTATTCAGTCACATAGTTTGGGCTCCTAGACTATGGCGTCCTTGGGATTTTCTGTGTAGCGAGCGGATCCTTTATGATCAAGAGGATGAGCTTCAAGA